TTGTTTTGTTTTTTGTCTTTTTGAGACAGGGTCTCCCTGTAGCCCTAGCTGGCCTGGAATTTGCTATGTAGACCAGGCTGGCCTCAAACTCACAGAGATCTGTCTCCCTCTGCCTCCAGAGCGCTGGGATTAAAGGGGTGCACCACCACACCCGGCCTTATTCAATAATTTTAAGTGCTAGTCTTCACTAGGGTCTCAACTTGTTCCTATTCATCCCTCACCATATATATTTCATCTGCTGTTTCAACTACCACCAGTACATTGGTACATTCAAGAATGGGCTGGAGAGATTCCTCAGCAGTTAAGAGTACTGGCTACTCTTGCAGAGGACCTGGGTTCAGTTCCCAGCACCCACATGGCAGCTAACAACAACCCATAACTCCACTTCTAGGGAATACACTGCGCTCTTCTGGACTCTGTGTGCATTGCACATTAATGGTGTACTTAACATACATGCAGGCAAATACTCACACACATAAAATAATTAAAAAATTTAAAAACAACAAAGGTGGTGCACACCTTTGATCCCAGGGCTCTGGAGACTAAGGTCAGCCTCACCTACATAGCAAGTTCCAGGCCAGCTGGGGCTATAAGGAGACCCTGTCTCAAAAACCAAAACTAACAACAAAATAATGGGCCTTATGACAATTTCATACATATATATGATTATATTTTGTTTCTATTTAACCCCTCATCACCCTCATCCATCTTCTTTCCCAACCCCCTTCCTCCTCCCCTCAAAATACTACTTCTGCTTACGTCACATGCTTTCACATGTGCATGTATACTGACACATGCATACTTAAATCTAGAACACACGAGTGTGATACTTTGTCTTCTCCATGTCCCTCTCTGTTCCCCCTCCTCCCTTTCCTTTAGACCTTTTCTTCCCTCATAATCTCTCTTTTAGTTTCATGGTACACATGCACATGTACACACACACAAGCAAACATACAGATGCTGCATATGAAATAAATCAGGTATGTTTGTTTTTCTGCATCTGGCTTATTTCACTTAATACAAAGATTTCTAGTTCAAACTATTTTTCTGAAAGTGACATAATTCCATTCTTTCTGGCTGAATAAATTTTTTGCCTTTAATCCCAGCACTTGGGAGGCAGAGGCAGGCAGATCTTTGTGAGTTCGAGGCCAGCCTGGTCTACATAGTGAGTTCCAGGACAGCTGGGGCTACAAGGAGACCCTGCCTCAATAAAGACAAAAAAATTTTATTATTTATCTGTACCATTTTTTAAAAAAAATCCATTCATCTCTTGATAGACATCTAGGCTTGTTCCATATCTTGGCTACTTTGAATAGTGAAACTTAACAAACGTGGATGTTGCCTGGAACGGTGGCACATATCTTTGACCCCAACACTAGGGAGTTCAAGGGCCAGCCTGCTCTACATAGTGAGTTCCAGGGCAGCTGGGGCTGCAGGGAGACCCTGTCTCAAAAAGACCAAAAAAGAAAAAAAGAATTTTTATTGTTGTTGTTACAAAATAACAATATACATAGGTGTTTGGGTATCTCTGTGGTAAGCTGACTTAGATTCTTCCAAGTATAAATCCAGGACAGGTATGGCTGGATCTAGGGGAGTTCTCAATTCTAAACACATGTATCAACTCATTTCATCTGCCTAATAACCCTATAACATTACTAATACTCCATGTTATAGAAGACCACAAAATGGGCGCTGAAGAGATGGCTCAGCAGTTAAGAACACTGTTCTTGCAGAAGACCCAGGTTCGAATCCCAGAATCCGCATGACAGCTAACAACTGTCCATAACTCCAGTTCCAGGGGATCCGGCAGCCTCTTCTGTCCTCGTAGGCATTGCACCACATGGGTGCACTTACCTACATGAAGGTATAACACTCATACACATAAAATAAAAATAATTAAATATTTTTTAAAAAGACCACAAAACACTTTCAAAAATTAAACTTAACTATCCAACTCAGAATTGATCTCTTAACATACCCAGTACCCATCTTAAACAATAAAAGCTCCTTGCGCTTTGCTTCTTTCTTACCTCTTAAGCCCCACTTTTCTATCTGCCTTTGTATAAAAGTCAGCATTTTCTCACAAGGATTACTGAAATCATGTCCTCAGGGCCATTCTGGTCCCATCAGCTCCTCTTCCACTCCCTGCTTGCTCATGGTTCGGCATCCCAGGGTCCCATCACAACTTCTACTTGGCGCCCCCTACATCAGAGTAGCTTTCCCAGTATCTCCAGCTTTATATTTTGTGGATCCTCCATCCAGACTGCATGTCAAGTAAATTCTGGCAAGTGACTAAATGGCATTCCCCTCAGAAGCCATCCTTGATAATCCTCCCCAGTGCCATCACCCCTGTCCTCTCCCACAACACAGCCACTCATCCACACTTTGACCTGAGTACTTGGCATGCTCGGATAACTTAGTTTCTCAGTCTCCACTGCACCAGGCATAAGCACCATCTCATGTGTAGCACACACAGTAGGTGTTCAATAAATGCCCCCATTGTACAGATAAGGAAACAGAAGCCTGAATCCTACTCAAAATACAAATTGCAACATTGTAAACTACAAATTCCTTCTTCCTTTACATAAAGAAAAACTGTGCCTCATAGAGAGATCACTTTGCCAGGGTTTGATGGAGCTACAAATTTGAAACTATCCAAAATTCATGCTCTTAGATGGCTGTGGAATCCACAGACAAGGGACTCAGCACTACTCCAATAGGCCGTCACCTTGGCACCAGAGAGCAAACACAGAATTGGTCAAAAATAATGAGAGACTGCACAAACACATGGATCTTCTCTTTAACTACTTAACATGGAACTTCTAACTTAAAACTGGCTTATTCCCTAGAGAAACTTTCTTTTAAAAAGAAAACTCAACTTCTCATTAACACAGGAAAGTGAATCTTCAGCAAATCATTTACTTTTCCCTTAGAGCCAAAATTCTGCAAAATTTTGAAGTCCTTTACAAGGGATCTGAATTTCAATGTTCATCTTTCTATTTAACATGTGTGAATTTTAAAAACCTCTCTAAAGCAATAACATGTGGATAACAATTCCCTGTTGTTTCTGGAAGAATAAACAACCATGTAGTAAACCCTGAGCATTACTGGTACAATTAAAAGACAGTCTATATAGATGGTATCTGAGCCACTCCTTTCTTTTACTAACACCACTCCCTTTATTGAACATGCTGTCTTGATCATAGAACCTCTGCAATGGGTGATTATAGTTAACCCTCAATAGCAAACTAAAATCAAATTCCTTCCCCCAAATAAAAACCTCTCTAATTTGAGATAAACCCTGACCACCAGATAACCATGAGGCAGTAGGCAACCTTAAGTAAATTAATTTAGCTTAAGACTAAGAGTAACTGAAAATTGGTGCTGGAGAGATGGCTCAGAGGTTAAGAACACTGGTTGTTCCTGCAGAAGACCCAGGTTCAAATCCCAGCACCCACATGGCAGCTAACAACAGTCTATAACGCCAGTCCCAGGGGATCCGATGGCCTCTTCTGACCTCTACGGGCATTGCACGACATGGGTGCACTTACCTACATGCAGGTAATATAAAATAATAAAAGACTAAGAGTAACTGAAAATCACCATCCCTCCACAGCAGGTAGAGTCTTTGGGTACTGTTGAAATGACCAACAAAAAATGCAACATGGGTTCACATGTTCAGCATCTATAGGAAGCCTCAGCTTGTAGGGATCATGGTCTGCCTTCTTCTTCATTACCTCCCTGAGGCAATGGAAAATGTGCGAAAGTTGAACTAGACAAACTGGAAGGCACAGTGTACTTCAGACATGGTTTAGAAGCATCATTCTTTATACCAGCAGGTACGTGAAAGAGCCAGTCTGAAATTGGGGCATTCCACATCCTCACAAAAATACTCCAGATCTCATTCTGAACTCTCACTGAAACATTACCAAGACTCAATGTACTGGAATCCACTGCAACCTGATGATTCTATGGCCTCACCTCAATACCACGCCAGGGGCCAGAAATTGCCAATTGGAAATATAGGCTAAGACCAAATCTGGAAAAAAAAAAACCCTCTAGTTTCAAAACCATATAATCAATTTATATTCAAGACTGATGTAAAAAGAAACTTAATGCTAGTTTTTCTGGTAGTTGGGGATTGATAGGCAGTAAAGGTCTCCCATAAAACCATGCATAGTGATGAAATGCCTATTATCCCAGCATACTGGATGCCAAAGCAGGAGGATCTCAAATTCAAGGTCAACTATCAGAGTAAGTTCAACGCCATCCTGGCTCTACACTGACACCCTGTCAACAACAAATCTCATATAAATCAAGGAGAAAAAAAATGCCTTGTTTATATACATATCTACCAGCACAAAACTAAGACTCCTGATCAGAATTTAAGGCCACTGAGATTAATTTGCTAAAATATTATAGTTAGAAATGACCCATTTCCTCAGTTGGTCACAAAAAGAACTTGAAAAATCTGAGTCCCGAAACAATGCACAAACCTATTTCTGAGAAAATCCCTGTGGGATTCCATCTTTACTAAAAGAGTTATTAAAGCCAAAACATCTATAAATTGACCCAGGTCAAGAGTATCTTCAGTCTTTCTTATCGCCTAGAAGGACCTGACAGTTCCCTATGAAGTCCCTTGTATGCCCTAGAAACGTGTAAAATAGCCTCATGTACTTAACTAAGCTGCAGGTTTCAAGGTTCTAACAGGAGTCCCCAAAGGACAGGCTGTCTGTGTTACATATTTCTTCCTCCCCTGCACCCAGCTCCATGCCTGGTCCTAAGGACAAGCACCCAAGGACAGTCTGTGTGGGGCTGAAAATACACATCTCTACTGCCAAAAATAGAGCTGAGGACACATACACAGAACCAACAGTAGCTTGGCAAAAGCTTTAAAAACTCCAGAAAACTAGTTTCATCATAAAATTATCAAAAACATGTGCATGTTTAAAGAAAATAATCTTTGAATTGCATATAAGTTTTAATTTTGTTTTAAATGAATCTATCTAGGCTTCTCAGGATTTCACAGGTGCTACTAAAGACATACAGCTTTAAAAAAAAAACTATGAATAAAATGGATTTTATTTAATGCACTAGAAAGCAAAGTAAATGGGTTGCAAGAGACTTTAGATATCCAGTAATCCAATCCTTTCAACTTCTGACTACAGAAAAATTAATTGCCCCATATCACACAGCTGGTCAGAGGCAGACTGAAGAATACTGTTCACAAGACAGGGCTCTGCTTCCTGGAGCTACATCCTCAACAAGAGGCCAGGAGTTATTTTTATGCTGATGTTTACCAGTACTCTATAGCTATTTCCTAAATGGATCCAGTAGATTTGAAAGCTTATAAACCCTTTTTCCCCCAGAAAACTAAAATACAACTGGATTATGTCAGATACTTCATTTCAAATATCTAAATATACTAAAATATTAACTTAACAAAAGGAACGAACACTCATAGTAAAGAAAATACTGAAATTGAGGTCTTAAAATATACAAGTTTGGTTCATTTCTGACCTTTTAACAGTCTATACTGGCTGAGAAGGCAAAGAATTAACACCTGAATACGAATTATGAGCCAACTGGAGATATTTAGCTATTAATGAATAACAAATTGCTAATGCATCCCAATTTCTTCACCACTCCCAGAAGCAGGCAGAAACTTTCACTTACCACAAAAAGAGACTCATATTCAAAAGTCTCATGCACGGCTTCCTTTTCCAGCTCTCGCTTTTCCACTGGTGCCTCACTGTCTTTTTCACCCTTTGCAGGGCTAATCCCATCGATGTTGGAAACATACGTTGTTTCTAAAGAGTCTGAACTTTTCATTTTACCTGGGAGAATTCCTTTGATCTTCTGGATAAAGGCAGCTACAGACCTAGTCTCTCCTGCAGGATGAGAACGTGTCTTGTCAGCATCCTCCTGATTCGATTTCGTGGCAGATGTTGTTCTTGGAAGCCGGTGTGGAGCATTTTTAGAACGCGTTGTAACATGCACAGCCTGGCTGGTAATGAGTTTATTAAACTGTTGCTTATGAGTCTTGTTAATTAGGATTTCTGCTTTTTTGTCTGCATTAAAGTCAGATCTTGGTGTTTTGCTCACAACTGTCAACTGTCTCGAAGAAGGCACTGGAGCTGGTGATGAGGCCCCAGTCACGTGAGGTTTCGGCGTGACCTTTGTTAGGGCTTCATCTTTGGGCTGCAACACTGGTCTAGATATAACTTTGGCTTTAATGTTCTTAAAGTTTGGTCTTGGGTAGCTTATAATTTCTGTTTTCCTAACTTTGCTGCCTGCTGAGGTATTTGTTTTGGTCGCTGATTTTCCCAGACTAGGCTTTGCTATGTTCATGGGTGCTCCATTCAAGCTGGGTACATGTTTAGCCTCTCTGGGACCTTTGTCCACCTGATTGCATGTCTCTGTTGCTTCAACAGGTGGAAGTGTAAAGCTTACATTTGGGGATTGCAGAACTGGGTTTGGCATGCAAACTGTATTATTTGTGCTAATGACTCTACCACTTGCATCCCAAGCCATCTCAAATGAAGAAACCCTCTGCCCCAGGGAGCTACTTAGGATCTGTTCTACGGTACTACTTTGCAATTCTGAACCCTTGTCATGAGAAGTGATGTGTGGATCTCCGGTTGATGTGACTTCATGCTCGGAGTCCAGGGCTTTGGTTTTACTTTTATCAAAAGCTGGCAATAGAAAAGGGCATTCATCATCAACACGACAATTGGGCACTGTTTCTCTTAGACTTGGGCCCATTTCCTTTTGCCCATATGAGCTTTGTGAATGTGTCTCACTATTTGACTCATCTTTAGATACACAATAGGACTCTTGTAATACAGATCCATGGGGGACCTCCATGTCATCAGAAACTAGTGTCACATCTTCTCTCTCTTTTTCTTCAACTACTCTTTGCTGTGTCCCATTTGTGTAGTCTTTGGTGACCTCTCCTAAAGAATACTGACACTTATCTCCATGATCTGGAAGGTCAGTTTGCATAGGCACATCAGAAAATGCTATGTAGGTTATGTTTTGGACCTGTGATGGTGTGGCCAGAAGGCTTTCAAAACTCTCTCTGTTATAATTAATTTCTCTCACATGTATATTTGAGGAATGGGTTGATGTCCAAGTGGAACAGGATAATGATGTATTTCCACTACTTGCATTGTTTAGCTGTGGACTTCCCAGAGTATGCAGGGACTGACTATGCTCAATAGCATGGTGTGCTATAAAGGTACTGTTCATTTTGTCTACTTTGTCAAATATTTGGTTTAGCTCCAAAGCTGCAGGATAGTCTGTACGTTCTAAATCATCATCAGGCTTCCACACCCGAGGCAGAGAGGGCTCACAACTCTGGTCCTGGACTGCCTCTAGGGAATGAAAGTTACTCTGCAGATAGTCTGGCTTCTCTGCATTGACAAGTGCAGAACACTGACAGGTGAGATCGTGATGCCTTGCAAACACTGGCTTACTAATGAAATCACTTGAAGACTCTTGGTGATCTAGTACTACAACACACTGATGGTTTGATGAACTATTTTCATCACTGTCCACAACAGGATCCATTTCATAATCAACCACCATGGCTTCTGGGTTGGAAGAATTCCTATTCATGTGATTGGTTGAAAGTTTCTGTGAAGATGACGATTTTTTGTTGTATTCAGATGTATCTCCATTTTTATCACTGATAAATATGTAATGCAATTTATCTTCTGTTTTATCTGAATTATCATCATTCATCCTGGATATTAACTTTAAATGTCTGCCATTTTATTTTCTTCCAATCAATCATTGATCTGATTGCTTCTAGTCTAGTAACAGGTTTGTAGTCTCAGATGCTTTGAAGTTGAAATGATTTGTTGTTTCCTGGAAGAAATAAACCATTTAACTCAAATAAATATTAGAAAATTCACAGGTCACCCCTTAATTTGAACCACAATTTTCACATGAACAAGCCCTAACTGTGGGGATTTACAACATTAGCTGATCTACCACTCTCTTTCAAAGATCCTTTTTTTTTTTTTTTTTTATTTAAGGAAAGGAGTAGTACAATGAGGGGTGGAGGTGAAATCCCTGTGAGTGAAGTCACTGCTGACACCCATCTCCTCTACTCCCAGGGACTCTCATCAAAGAGAGAAAGGGGAAGCTATGTCTGGCAATAGATTTTCCTTCCTGTTGGTTGACAATGAAACCATTCATCTTAATTCTCTCCTATACAGTCCTAATTTATGCTTGTTGTCCCAAAATAATTCATAACAGTGTCCTTTTCACTCCTAGAAGGACCCCTTTTCTAAGAACATTACCAGAGAGACCATACAGGCCCCACAGATGAGTTAAAGATGAAGGGAGACTCAGGGAATTCCCCTTGCTCGCTCCTATTTTATTCCTGTCTTAACCAAGGGCCATTTCCAAAGTGAAACGGGGAAATGTTACTAGAAGTTGAAGTGATATCCTGTTGGAAGTTCCTCACAATATAAACAAAGTCTCTATTTGCCAAACTGCATAATAACCCCCCTCCCCCATAAAAACCTCATATATTGAAGCCTTCCACGTCCCATAAGTGACTCTGTGGAGACAAGGTCTCTAAGGAGGAGATTAGGGTTAAGCGACAGTACAAGTAAGGGTGGAGCACTTATTCAACAGAACCACTGCCCTTCTGAGAAGAATAGATTCCAGAAAGCTCTCACTCCAGCCACTCCTGACAGGACACAGGAGATGGTAATGCTACCAGGTAGTTAGTGCTCTCACAATAAAGCAACTCTGACAGAACCTTGATCTTGGAGCTTCCACCCTCCAGAAGAGGGAGAAAGTGAGTTTCTTTTGTTTGAACTATACATTCTATAATGCCATAGTTTTCTATGGCAGTCCAAGGAAACTAAGATGTCAGATGACCCAGCAGTTCTGCACCTAAGCATCTACTAACAGAAATGAAAATGAAAATACACAACCACACAGAAATTTATTTTTGAAAATGCGCATGATCTTAACAGAAGCATTATTTACAATAGCCAAAAAATAGAAAAAAGAAACCCCATGTCCATCATCTGGTAAATAGGCAACAAATTTGGTACATGTATACAACAGAACACTCTTGAGCACAAAAAACAATGAAATATTGTTTTATTAGAAATACAGCTATTGCTAGGCCTGGTGGCTCATGCCTTTAATCACAGCACTCGGGAGGCAGAAGCAGGTGGATCTCTCTGAGTTGCAACTGCAAAAAAAAAAAAAAATACGCAGAGGAAGAAGCCAGTCACAAAAGACTACGATGATAATATGTACATAAAAGTCCTGGAACAAGCAAATTTATAGAGAAAGAAAGTACATTAGTGATTTGTCTGGGAAAGGATAGAGATGACGAGAACAGAAAGGAACTGCTAACTACAATGATGTTTTAGGTGGTAATGAGATATTCTAGAGTTTGATTTTGCTGATGGTTATACAATGTCATAAATAAACCACTGAACCGTATACTTAACAGAAAACTTTTAAAATGCCCAGAAACGATTTCAAATCTGGGATGGAGAGATGGCTTAGTGGGTAACAAACTAGAGTTTGATCCCTGAATCCCACATAAAGCTGGAAGAGGAGAACGCCACAAAGTTTTCCTCTGACCTCCACATGCACACCATGGCATATACACAATCATATATGCAATATTATCTCTCTCTCACACACGCACACATACACACAAAAATAACGAATGGGGCTAGAGATGGTTCAGCAGTTAAGAGCACTGGTTGTTCTTGCAGAGGACTCGGGTTTGATTCCCAGCACCCACATGACAGCTGACAACTGTCCCTAACTCCAGTTCCAGAGGATCTGAAGCCCTCGTATCTCTGTAGGCATTGCAGGACATGGGGGCACTTACATACATGCAGGCAATACACTCAGACAGATAAAATAAATAGAAATAATAACAGAGCTTTAAAATATTTCAGCTCCAAGGCTTTTTACAAATAACTAAATTTTTATTATGCTTTTAAACAAATTGAAGTGTTTAAGAGAGGTTCAAACTAAGAAGGAACTACAAGTCATAAAGATATACATTCACTTGATCTGATGTCTCCCTTTCAGTTTTCAGTGTCAGTCACATGGCACAGTGCTGTTCTGAATAAATATCAGGTGGGGAGGATAAGACGCTACGTGTGACCTATACATTTCTGAATTAAGAACAGATCTTATTTTCCCAATTTGTAAACTTCTCACTGGATTCAAATGTCAGCAACCACAATAAAATCAGAAGAACAGAACTACGAAGCCTAACGGTGTTTGGTATTTCTGGCTGTGCATCCTGAAACCAGCTTCTGATGGGGGCAAGAAAAGCTCCAGTATTTACACCAACAGCATGTGCACACATATGCATGCACACACACAGGCACACACTACCATGTATTCAGTGTCTGAATCCCAAAATGAGGACTGCATGATTTATATACTCCGGGAACACATAAATTGGTCTTTTTACCAGATGACTCTTAGCTAAAAGTAATCAATGAAAAAGTTTATTGACTAGGCTATTCATGAATGCTTTTATGAAGCACAAATTGGCATTTTTACTACATTTATTTATTGTGTATGTGTATGTATGTGGGTGTGCAGGCCATGGTGGCATGTAGAGGTCAGAGGACAACTTGAAGGAATCTGTCCTCTCCTTCTACCACATGGGTCCCAGGGATCTAACTCGGGTCTAACTCATGTCAGGCTTGGCAGCAGTGCTTTTACCTGCTGAGCCTTCTTGCCAGCCCCATAAACTAGCATTGATAATCTTCTATTATAAAATGCATTGAGTGGCTGGAAAGATGGCTCAGCAGTTAAGAACACTGGTTGTTTTTGCAGAAGACGTGGGTTAGAATCCCAGCACCCACATGGCAGCTAACAACTGTCCTAACTCAAGTTCCAGGGGATCCAACAGCCTCTTCTGTCCTCCGTGGGCATTGCATGACATGGGCGCACTTACCTACACACAGGCAATACATGCATACGCATAAAATAAATAATAAATAATCAAAATAAATTAATTAAAAATGCATTGAAGCTGAATATTTAAATTTCAAAAAGCATTTATTCATTTTAAGAATTACTAAATGTACCTCTCTGCTTGTTAAAAGCAAATAATTTAATAGAATGTGGTATGTGGGCGATAGGAGTGGGTAGTGGAGGGGCAAGAAAGAACAAGGTACAATGATGCAATTATATGAAAATGAAAATGCCCCAATAAAACCCACTACTTTGTATGCTAACTAAAAGAAATAGAAAGAAAGAAAGAAAGAAAGAAGAAAGAAAGAAAGAAAGAAAGAAAGAAAGAAAGAAAGAAAGAAAGAAAGAAAGAAAGAAAGAAAGAAAGAAAGAAAGAAAGAAAGAAAGAAAGAAAGAAGACAGAAAATTAAATATATGTCTGGGGGCAGGGGTGGTATGTGGAGGGAGAGAATTTGGAATAAGCAAATGTGAACACAGGGCCCTGAAACCCTAAGCCTATTAGTATAACTAGAGGACTACGGAAGTTCTGTGCCTTATAAACGTGATCATTAAATTCAATTAATAGAATTTTGTTACATAATCTCACTTTTCCAAAGTACATAAAAGATGATTTCTTAAAATGTTAAAGATATAAACTGAGAGCTGGGCATGGTGGCACATGTCTTTAGTCCCAGCAGAGGCAGGCAGAGCTCTATGAGATCTAGGCCAGCCTGGTCTACATAGTGAGTTCCAGGCCAGCTGGGGCTACAGGAAGACCCTGTCTCAAAAGCCAAAAAAACAGACATAAACTGAGTAGTAACTGGTTCATGTCAAAGCATTAAATTCTTTTTTAAATAGACATGATAGGAGAAATCACACGACCAATCTCATGCTGTCCAGGATTTGAGCTGTTGCCAGTTTTTCTCTTCTATCAATAACACTAAATTAAATGTCTTGCAATCTTTTACTTATTTTAAAACTTGACAGGGCATGTCAAATTGTGTACGGGGAGGTGTGTCAGGGTTATTTATAATGCACAGACTGACAGCAAATAACAGGCATAAAATTGGGCTTCTGCATTTTGTTCAACAATATCACTCACAAGAATTTTTCCACTTCAGTATGTCCACAAATGTTCCACATTGTAGGAACATTTCTAAAAGTTGTAAAACTCCACAAAAGTTAAGACTAAATGTTTTAGGTTTACAGAGGAAACAGGAAATAAGCCCTTCAACCATGACTTTCACAAAACTATTCAGTACACTTGGGCTCAAAGAAACAGTGTTCAAAGTGATGAGCAATTCTCACCAAGAAGAGTTCGGATAGGATATCAACGTCCCTCAAGCCTTTTCTTCCTTAGTAGGTAAGGGTAAAGAGTTCACACTGCAGAATTTGTATACCAAAAAGGATTAACAGTATTGGTTCCAAAGTTAGCTAGAAGTTCAGTTCCACCCTTCATATAGAAAACAATGTCCTTGAAGTACCATTACTATGAAGATAAAGTCGTGTACAGGAAAAGGGCATCCTTCCCTCAGGAGGTTATTAAAAGTTAGCCACTCTCTGAGTTGGGAAGACAGCTCAGCCTATAAAGTGCTTGCCTTGCAAGTACAAGTTCAGTCTGTAGAGGTCACTTTAAAAAAAAAACAACAAAACTAGGACTGATGGTTCTTGAAGACAGAGATAAAGGGATCTCGATGGCTAAATGGCTAGCCAGCATAGCCTAATCAAGTTGGAATCCCAGCCCCAGCCAATAAGAAAAATCATACCTGATGAATGACACCCAAGGCTGTCCTTTGGCCTCAGCACACACTCATACAAATACATGTGTGTGTACACACATACACAGAGTTGGTCATGTATCTCAGAACCAATTTCATTCTTCCCCTATTTTAAGAATTCTACCTAGA